GCGGCCCGCGGTGGGCACCAAGACAAGGGCGGAGGAAGCTTGCCTGTGCTTCACGGGGGGGCGTTGCCGGCAGGTGGTGGAACCCCAGGAGCGCACCGAGACTAACCCTCCCCCGGTGAGAGGCAGCGCAGTATGTACCACAGAGACCCCGGTAGGAGGAACCAGGGACCCGGGGGACCACTTGGCGGGCACGGAGCCCACATCCCAGGGCCCGACGGGTTGCTCAACCCCACCCGATCAGATCCAGGAGGACGTCGGCTGCGCCTTCCCGAGCCTAGACGATGAGCAGCTGCGGGATCCAGATCTGGCGGCGGTGGAGGCGGCCCTACGGGAGAAAGAGGACACCCTACCAGGGCCCTGGAGTGGTTTGTATGCCCGATTGTGCGTGCAGAACAGGGTGGTGCGGGAGCTAACCGAAGCCGGCCAGCCGGGATGCATCTGCGTGCCCGCCCAGGTGCGACCCGAGCTGCTGAGACTAGTGCACGACCACCCGCTCGGGGGCCATGACGGAGAACGGCGCACTCGTGAAAGTCTGCGCCACCAGTATCTCTGGCCCAAGTTGGCATAAGACGTGGCCACCTGGGTGCAGGGCTGCCGCGCGTGTCAGCAATGCGGACCGAAACCGGCGCGATACCAGGTACCCCTGAGGCCGTTCCGCGTCAGCCGGACGAACCAGTTGGTCGGGATCGACCTGCAGCGGCCATTCCCACGATCCCACCGGGGCAACTGATATATTCTCATAGCGGTGGAGTACTTCACACGCTATCCCGTAGCGGTAGCCATCCCCGATAAGACAGCCCTCGTAGTGGCCCGAGCGTTCGTGGAACACTACGTACTTAAGCACGGGATCCCCGAACGAGTCATTACTGACCATGGTAGTGAGTTCGAGGCAGAGCTATTCCAGGCACTGTGCCGGGAGTTCGGGATCCAGAAGGACCGAACTACGGCGTATTACCCCCAGGCAAATGGGATGGTAGAGAGAATGAACCAGACTCTAGCCGGGAAGCTTAAACGCATGGCGGCCGCGAATCAACGGGACTGAGATGAATACCTCCCCTATGCTCTGTTCGCTTACGCCACCACAGTAGACACATCCATGGGACAGACCCCGTTCCTAATGATGTTTGGTCGCGAGTCTCGCCTGCCTACAGATCTGTTGTTCGGTGTCCCTCCGCCGCAACGGGAGGACGGGAGCCACCCAGTGGAGCACTTGATGGGGACCCTGCGAGAAGCTAGGGTCCATGCCTACACGCAAGGCGAGACCACACACCAGTGGCAGGAGCGGGGCGCCCGACGCTGGATGGAGCCCCCATTCTACTCAGCGGGCTCTAAGGTGTGGCTGCACACCCCTCGCGTCGGGGCCGGGCAGGTGGGGAAATTAACCACCTACTGGCGGGGACCCTGGACGGTGGGGCGACAGATCTCCCCCTGGACGGTACTGATTCAGGGGGGAGAGAGGGGCCGGGAGATGGTAGTTAATGTTCGGCGACTAAAACCATGGAGGGCGGCCCCAGGGGGGAGAACCCCGCCGTTCGAGGACCCCGAAACCCCGGGGTCCCCACACCCCCGATACCCGGGGGCCTCGCAGAGTATATGGGCCCCACGGGGTCCCGGGCCCCAGGGGGTCCCAGCCCAAGCCAGGAGAGACGGGGACGGCGCCCCCTGAAACCTACCGCCCCCGAGTTTGTCTCCCAGCCCGCAGGTACCCAGGGCCGGAGGGAACCATTGGAGTGGAGAAGGAGACCGCCGCCGGAACCCCGAGAGACGGAGCCACCACCGCCGAGACCAGCCACGAGAGCCGGGCGAGTCCCGCGGACCCCGCGGTGCTACCTTGTAGGGGCAACCCAGGCGAGGTGCTCTAGTCAACCAGGGACGGGGACTGGCACCTCGGGGGGCTGTGTGGTGCCGCCGCAGCGGAGCCGCTCCAGCGGAACCGTGCCCACCACCGCGACGCCGTCACCGATGCCTCGGATTTCCCGCCACTCTCCCGGGGCCGGTGCCTTCTTAGACGTCCGCGTTGTGCCCACTGCACAGTCGTGAGGCCGCCGCAGCAGAGCCGCTCTGCCGAGGTCGTGCCCACCGCCGCGAAGCCGCCACTGGGGGATGCCGACGGCGATGCGGTGCACCCTCGCCACCCCCCCCCCCCACCCCCCCCCCCCCCGCACGAACGCACACACACCCCACGTAGAGCCGGGAGGGGAGGTCACCCGGCCGATTGGTTTTTGTCCAGAAGTCCCTAGTGGGATCGAACTTCATGGTTTCCTGCGGCCGGGAAATTGGGCGATCTTCCCCCTGTAGCTGACATGCACTGCGGCACCACGACCTAATATTAAAGTTGCATGGTCACAGCAAGGGCCATCGAGCCACCGCGAGTGGAACCACACACGCACAAGCACGGGTCAGTGGACTGGTAGCGGGAAAACAGAGAGCGGACGTCGGTGAGATCACTGTGGCGACGTCACCTGAGCTGGGATCCGGGTATCGAAAGGGCGGGAAAATCTGAGCCCCTGATTGGACGGGAGGCCAAGAGACCGAAACGGCGAAATTCCTTTGTTGTAGGTAGGATAAAGGGAGGGGGATTCAAGTAGCAAGTCAGTTCTTCTTCAAGATCATCGCGGTTCCAGGAGCAGCAGAGTCAGCCGTCTGAGACGTCCGTGAGACGTACTCCAGCACCGCCAGGCTCGCCCCTCTACAGAGACAACTCGCCGCCTCGTCCCCTTACAGCGGTCAGCACAGCAGGGTGGAAGTAAGTGCGAGGGAGAGAGGCGTAAGTTTAAGCGTTTTAAATCCAGGGTAGAGAGCGGGGCGATCGGTAGGAGAAATTGAATCGAAGACCTCCGAGGGATAGACTAGCGTCCACTGACCCATACCATCACAAGTAGATAAAATTGGTTACTCGAGGTAAATAAAATTCGCTAGTGGGGGGATAAAACTGTGTTGTGTGGTCTTTTGGGAGCGTGAAGTGGAGGGCAGAGTGTGCTGGGTGTCTACGTGTATGCGCGGCTGTTCACCTCGAGACGAAGTGTGCGGTGTTTACGTACGCGCACGATTGTTTACAGTAGCGCGTAGCGCTCGCATACCGGTGTGACGGCGTTGCGATCACGCACCCGTGCAATTGTGTACTTGACTGTGCGGCGCGTACGGGCATACGTGGCGACTTTCGGTGGTGCCCAGTGCTCGTGTACCCATGATATCGCTCACAATAGTGCTTAGCGATCGCTTACCTGGGTGGCTGTGTTGTGGTCACGCACCCGCACAATTGTCTAGTCGCGAAGTAGCGAGTAAAAGCGCCGAGCGCACGCGTATTCGCGCAACTGTTTGAGCGGGCCCGTCCACTCAGAGCTGAGCGACCCTCCCCAATCAGCAGCGCGCGCACGGCAAACGTCCCGCCCGCCCATCCCTCGGCTCCAACCCCGTTGCGTGCGATTGGTGTACAGGGCTGGGCAGAGGGTAGGGGCGTGTTTGTTATTATCGGAACACGTGGAGCGCTGGTGGGAGGGAAACACGCGCCGCGCCTGTTTGTTTACGGGCGGGACGGAGATTTTACTGTCGAGTGCGCTTACAGCGGCATGCCGCCTCTGAACGGCAAAGCGCACCGCGAGCGTAAAAACAGACCACTGCGTCAATCGAAACATGGTGACGCGGGCAGCCGCCAAGTCGGGGGTGCAAGGGGGCGAGGAATTGGGGGTCGGCATCCCGGACCCCACAGACCAGCCGGGGGGTAGTGGGACGAGTGTTATGGGGGAGTCGGAGAGCAATGGTCCCGACAATATGGTGATGGCGGGGGACGGTAGCCCACACAATAGTGACTGGCGAGTGTTCAGTGAGTCGTGAGAACGGGAGTCAGTAGCGTCTAGAAAGTGGTGAGTGTGAAGTGAGCGATGCATGTCTGTTTCTTGTGTCGGGTGAGTTGCAGGTTAGTGGTGTCTGAAGGTCAGTCGAGTAGAGATGGTTATGCGAGTCGCATGTACTGTATGTTGAACTTTTTTTGCACCATACATAGCCTAGCAGTGCCCGGTGAATGAGTACTGTACCGTGTCGAGTGAGTGCAAGATGAATGGTGAGTAAAGAGTGTTTGGTGAATCGTTGCTTTTTGTTAGGTGTCTGGTGAATGTGCACTAACGTTCACTATAGTAGTTTACATAAACCATAATGTTTTTTGCATTTTTTCTTTTATTTTTCACCAACCAAAACTATACACCAGCAGATTAGAAATGTATCGAGCTTAATGCAGTATGACGAATTCAGAAAACACGTCAGATGCATGAATCATTGAAAAATAAATTTTTTTTACAATGCTGTATCACCCTGACTCGACTTTCTTTCCCCAATACAGAAGTATATCTCGTGATCCAATCCAAACTCAATTGATATTGGAAGAAATTGCACAATTGCTACCTTTCTTTGACCTGTATATTAAAGCCTCAATGACATTAATTAAAAGTAATGTAAGTTCCTGGATATGTAGGGGCTGTACATGTGCAATAAAGAAAACATTTAATGGTGGTCTAATAGTCCGGTGAGCTTGCAACTCCAACTGTTGCTTGGGAATATATAATTTGTAAACTGAATGGATGATGTTTAAATTTAGCATTTTTCATCAGGCGAAGAGTTAGTGTATATGCAATATTGTTGAACAATGTCTTCACAAAAGTAAAGGATTTTAACTTGGTATGCAAAGTGTAATGTGATGATGGATCTTCAATTTAAAAGATGTTTTAAAATTGTATTTTCAGTACTGGATGTACAATATACATGTTGGTATTCCAAAAAAATATTTTGTCGTCAAAATAGAGAACTGTTCATCATCTGATCTAAATGCCATATTGTGACAGTGTCATTACCACTAATAACATGTCTGGCATGACCACACAAACTCACTGAATAGATCCACCCATCCTATGCCCACAGGCCCAATTCCACATTAAACAGGCCATACCCATAGCAAGCAACTGTAATTCTCGGGTTAGTGGAAGCATTGATATAAAGAGCGTAATGCTTTAAGCCTGTGGCTTCTTGAATGCGGCAATTGTGGCATTGACTCCGCTGTTGACGCTCTGCTCTCCTTCGGCGAGCTTCGGGGCTTCACGGTACACGCTCATGACCTGCGAGAGAAATGGGGAATGGGTGGTGTTTGAACGTCAGTACCTACAGATAAACGAACATGATAGCAATTATACCTGGCCGATACCAGCCACACCGAGTCTACATGCCACCTTTGCATTGTCATCGATAAAGATAAATAGGTCATCACACTGAGCCATCGCATCTTCTATTGTAGTCAACACCTGACTCATCTTGTGGTTAAATTTTCCATTTGGTTTTTGACCACTAGATTCCACTGTCAATGCTTGTCATGGTAACATGTCCATTTCAATCCTCGACACATGCCCCATCCATACAACCTTTCCCTGACTATGCACCTACATTGATATTTACAACAATATAAACATTGACAATGATATTGCCATTGAGAAGAGCAATAACAATAATGATATCGATAGTGACGAGCTATTGAAAATGTTTTTGACTGTATAATTTTACTACAATATTGATGTTGACATTGACAGCCTCGGCACTCACAGCGCTGATCCAGCTGTTGTAGGCTGACACGCGGGTGAACACGGTGGGCTTGCGGATCGTGTTGCAGCCCAGAGATGAGACGTAGCTGGCGATTCCCTGCACCACCCAGGCATTGTCCCACCGCTGGCAATTCAGTGGGCCACCTCCATCACCCTGCGATGCAAAGCAGAGGATAGACATGCATCCACGTTAACTCTGGGTAAAGCAGAAACTTGATATGGTGGCAGGTGCTGGCAAGGGTAAGTAGAAGAGCTTGGGGCTCTTGTATCGGTATCTGGATGAGAAAATTTAGCAAGTGTGCTTTCGGACCGTGTTGCTAAGTAACGGAGTAATATCGCACAACCCCAAGGCCTGATCCTTCTCAAAACACCTTGTTGTGTCTTGCCCCGCACTACTCTGGTAGCTATACACAGGTGGCAGGGTCTGGAACAGTAAAAATATGACAAGTGATGACTCAATACGTACCCTATTGGTTCTGGCGTTAATTTGGTCATCATTTATATTTTCTTGTTTGTTATTTATTGATTTAATGCAGTCATGCCTTCACTTTGTGAAATTTTAGTCAAATCTTATTATCCGTGGGTTTCATTTAGTAATTCTCTTAGACGAGGCGATTAAAGCAGTCACACTACTTGTCGACTCCAGTTATTAAATGGGTTGAATGTGCGCCCCTTTCGCTCCCACAACATTACCAGGTCAGCCAATCAGTGATGTCAGTGGTCACAGCCATCGCCACGCTTGGTGATTGTTGTCCACTCACAGTTACTGTTGACTAAATGAAGATATAAAAGAAACATTTTGCTGACAACTATTCTCATGAGGAATTGACGCGGGTTGTCTCGCGTTGCGCTCCGTACGCACATAGCACGCAGAGCGGGTGCTGCCCCCTGCGCAGATCACGCTGCTCCTCAGGCTGCTCCCCCACCAGCTGGGCTGGCTGCACGTCGCGTAGTCCACCACGGGCAGGCTGGCCTGCTGCAGCGCGCTGGGGAAGGGGCCGCTGGCTGCTCACGCACACAGACAACGTGGAGACGGAGAGCGTTGGTGAGAAGGCATCGGTGTTAAGTGACGCTAACAGGCGCTCCCCAGCGAACTGTCCGACTCTCAGTGCTCAAAGGAGAAAAGCAACGCAGCAACACCGCCACGCTGTTGGCATCATTATGTCCACGTGTAGGTGGGTGCTGCATTCACCTTCTGGTGGACAGGGACAGCTGCCAATGGGGTGGTCCCCTTTGGCGAGGTTGCCGCATGGGTGCCTCAATATACATGGAATTTGATGCAAAGTGTCCATAGCTCTGCCCCCTCTTGTGTTTAATGCACACCGAGTGAACGGTACTCACTGTCGAGGGATCCCCAGCCCGTGGCGTAGCACGGGTAGTTGTTGGGCAGGATCTGGTTGGCGCTGGGCAGGCAGGCGAGGCGCACCTTGCTGGAGAGAGCCACGGGCGATGCAATCTTGAACATGGCGATGTCGTACCTGTGGGGGATTGAGACCAGGGGCAGCCGTGATGCGACGCTCAACAACGAACATACAACAAGCATTGGTGGTTCAGCGCTGGGAGATCAATATTGCAGATCCTATTATCTGCTATTATACTCCAATGATTTATGGGGGGAAATGACGGATAATAGGAAGAATTGGACCACATATAATAGGAGATTGTGTGGACGCCACATCTCCCACAGATAAGTATGCCGGTCATCAATATGAGGATTTCTGTATATTCCAGTTATTGGATTATCAGAAGCATTGTATGAGATGAAGCAATAGCATTGTGTAGCATCTGTCTGTCTCTTTGTCAAACAAAGAATGGGCATGTGCTGGAAACAGTGTACGAGTACAAATCAAGACAACTCATCGCCTTGCCATTAACACTGCCTTCTATAATATAATACAATTCTACTGTTTACAAATGATCCTTAACTGACATATGATATTCAAATTATGCGTTCTTTCGTTTTACGGCAGTGTCCATGATAATCTTTGTTTAAAAATAATCTGTCTTTTGTCTGTTGGAATGTCTCTATGAATGTTTGTCTGCATGTATGTTTATCTGTCGATTGCAACTCTCACGGTGTCACTTAACTAGCGCGCCCGTGTGCGTTCTCACCCGTTCGCCGGCATGCTGGGATTCCAGTAGCTATGCCAGACGGCCAGGCTCAATGGAGGGGTGACCTCCCCGAACTCGGATGTGGACACACTGTGCTTTCCCAGCACCACCCTGTAGCTGTAGCCACTCCTGCACGTTGTGGTGGATGTGGGGAGATAACAGAGCGACGGGCGGTCGTAATCACTTACACCTGTAAACATTGCAGTGAGAAATTACTAAACAGAAATGGTGCGAGTTACTGCATGGTATTTTCACTGCCACACTGCGGCATCGTGTAAAGGTCATTTATACAAGCTGCCTCCTTGCTCCCAAGATACACTGTTCCACCCTTGGTGGCCACAATGTGGTACAAAAAATACTGTACAACACCTGGGCCCCGGTGCAGTTGCACCGCCTGCACACACACTAGCGACTCCACTTGTGCCATGACTCACGTGAAGCAGCTCGCAGAGGTGAGCACCCATTGACTATCAATGAGGGTTCCTCCACAGTAGTTGACCCATCTTCCTCCAGAGTACCTCTGCACGAGCGCCTGCAATGCACACAAAGCGAGGCGGTGGTGATTACGGTGGTTTTTTCGGAATCTGTGCAATTTTTATATCGAATTATACAGTACTAACTTTGCCATTTTGTCAATCGACTGCCTCACAAATGCTTGCCAGAGCTGGTTGTGAAGAAAATTTTACCTGGGACAAGTTAGGATTTCACTCACAACTGACGTTAGCAGTCGCTGGGAATGTAACCCATGCAGCCTGGTTCGTCGTGCAGTGCGTAAAACACTGCGCTTCCACTCTCCCATTATACAGTGACTCATTCAATGCCTTTGGGAAGAATGGAAGATCTGAACATGTCATGTTGCACACATGCAGCCCTTTTGTCAATCCACTGCTGGATGAGGGCCTCCACGTGGCGTGTACAACAATGGATGCTGCTGCACTGTGATCGACTGACAATGCAGCGTGTGGCTGTGATGGCTGTTATTCAGCCTCTGCCGTTACCTGCCAAGGCCAGGAGTTGGCACGAGCCTCCACGCCGTTCACCACGCGGATCTGGGGATACGCTGCGATCCCACAGCTCTGAGCAGACACCTCAGCTGTAAGGGACAATAGCATACACGCACAATTCTATACACAATAGCACACACACACACACACAATAGCACAAACACAATACCACACGAATCTCCCTGATGTGTTTTTGGTTTGTACCTTGTACTGTTCTGCATGATGTCCGATGTTTCACTACACGTTACAAGAGCTTCTTTTACATATACTGTATTGTTTTATTTAAAACCCGAAACCGCGATCATGACAGAGGGTATTTCAACGTACATGCAACGTTTGCATATCCAGGTTTTGTGTCCTCGGGTTATTTTTTTCTCCTCCACCAGGAGTTATTGAGGGAATATCGGGATCCTTTTATAACCCATGTGATATAACCAAAATAACGAGTGACGTGAAAAAGGAGATCAATTGGAGCCCAGATCCCCCCATTCCCCTCCTAGGAATTACTCTCATTCAGAGCATATTGAAAATAATGTGAGGCCTGTGGCATGCTCCCCCATCTCCTCACCATTTCCCCTGGTTCCCCTGTTCGGGTTCATGATCGTCTTGGCATCAGGTGATCCGTGTTATTTAGGATTATAAACTAAGGTGCTCCATTGCGACTATAGTGTATGATGATCGACTCCAATGTCTCCAGGAAGGGAGTTTGGGGTCCTTCCAATTATCTAGGATAGTTTTCTTCGCCATGGTATTAAAGGCTTGGGGTCACGTTTTCTGATGTTTGGATATTACTGCAAGTTTCAGGCTCCACAGGGGGGAATCCATGGAGGGCCCAACATTCGTGCCACAGATAATATTAAAGTATTTGGCAATGTGCTGGAAAGATTTCAGCGATATCCGGGCACAGTCAAAAGGCATGTAGGTATGTCTGGTGCCAGGAGCTTCTTCTAGAACTCAGTCCAGTTCCTGAAGAAAATGGAATGGTTGCTACACTTAATCAATGCGTGCATTCCAATCACTCAGCAGCTCAAGGTGTCAGAAAGAGGGGCACTCACCTCCAACCAGCAGGGCAGCGCAGACAAGAAAGGCGAGCATGGTCGATCGATGGCTCTCCAATTTGCTGGAGATTGAGCTTCTCGATCACGAGTGAATCCTCTCCACTGCCGTGTCTCACCGTTGGGATCTTATGGCTTTTATACAGAATATGCTGCACACGTGAGACCTCTAAAAGCAAACAGAATAGGGAAGTCCAACTAGCGAACACATCCGTATGCAAATGTAAGGTTGATTTATTCCAAATAAAGACGTTGCAGTATCTCTACTGTCAGTTGCTGGGAAGTAGTGGACTATTCATGTTTTATTTTTCGAGGGCTTTCAACATTGTGTTGGAAACGTACACATCTATCCAATGTTGTGTCGTTATGCAAACACAGATTACATCCTGGTTGGTATTTGACTGCGCCTATTATTTCCAACTGGTTAATAAAATGCGTAATGTACCTCTTTGTGATAATTTAATGGTGGTAGTTGTACAGGGATACTGTTTCCCACCATAAGTATGGGCAATCGTCACCACTGGCTTCTGGCCACCACCGAAGTGAACACTGCCCAACAGTGCTTGAACAGGGAGACACTTACCTGGCTTTCAATTTTAAATGTCATTCTGTTCACCTTATTTGAAGGGCATTTGGTAATTTTTATTTTCTTTTTCAATTAAAACGGGTACAAAATGTAGTTGTTATGTTAAACTGTTTTAAAAGAGAACAGAGAAGATGCGTTCATTAGACTAAATATTGTCTTTGGGATATACCTGGACCTTTTTAACCTTTTTGTTTGCCTTTTAAGCTTGACGTTCTCGAGTGGAATGTGTGTGGACCTGTAGATATTTGAGAATCTTCCACACGTGATGCGATCCAAAGTGGCCAGGAGATGTCCATTAGTGGAGAGCATCGAGCTTTGTCCCACATTCCTACGTGCTGCTTTGCTTCTGGTTCTCGGGTTTCCTTCCAACACACCATGCACTCATTAAAGGATTTGGTGAAACATCCCAATCGAGCGTTTTCCACTTCTTCACTCAAGAAAAGCCGCTGCAAGCAGATGTTGCTCTGCATATTCCAAAGAACTGAAATTCGACTGTGTGCAGCGCACACATCCGTGACCCCGTGACCTCATGTGGTATACCGGCATTGGGTTTCTCCAAGCGGAGCGGTGCACAAACAAGCCACACGCTCTACACCTCTTCATTCCCCACACCGCACGAGTCTGCCAGGAGTTGTGCTCAACATTTGTGCGCCAATTCCAGAATGATGTAAAGGGAGTCCCTGGGTTACGGAACGTTTAGGTTCCTGAGAACGATCCGTCCGCTGAATGTTCCATATGTCAGCAACTGAACAATTTCCCCCCAAAATCAGGATTAAATCCCATAACCGGATATAGTTGTGCCTCCCCTACCCGATTACTAGGTTCGTTTTCTCTCAGTATTTCACTTGGGTGTGGAAATAGTTAAAGGATTTTAATTGTACTGTGATGCGTGCATGTATATAACATTTGCTATACATGCAAGATAAGAAATGTGCTATTATATTCAAAAGTAGAACATATGGTACGGTTTCATGACAAAAAATGCAAATAGATATATATTAATTGTGCGTAGTGTATTATCACGACTAATTGGCTGTGTTGGGTGGTGGCGGGTTTAACAGCACATTTATATTTACGCGATCTAAACCAATAAAACCGCTTTTACGGATAATATTGGTCGCCAAAGCCTACGTGTTAAAGATAATGTGTATAAACCTGTAAAAGCAACAGGCCAGGAATGCACACATTCGCTAAATAATGCACGAACAATGATAATAACGTGCTAAATTAGGATATTGGCTCCTGGATTAACAGAAGAATGCTGTCATGTGATTACCCCAAAAAAGGTAGTACAACATACATCGGTTTGTTCATGCGTGAGACTCATATAGAGAGATAAACTAAGGCAACTTAAATATTCTCGGGATTCACTATCCATGCCTGAGTCACAAAGGCAGTGGGAAAGCCTTGGGGAACAGCTGTTAAAATACGGCGCAAGCTGTAATCGTGTTGTCGCCAGAGGGCAGCACAGACAAACGGCTGTGGCTAAACAGCCACGTGGTTGCGATTTAAAGGCAAAAATCCCCATCTAATTAATATGTATTTTGTTTGGCTCAAATCGCGAGAGCACATTGCTAATATATACCTTACACCCTTCTCCACCGGAAAACAATTCGAAAAAGTTAAATCAGGTGAACAACCACGCAGATGTTTATTATTGCAGCACACCGGTATGCTGAAGAGCAATGCACAACATTTAACAATTATA